AATTTTAATTGTAGTGTTACAGAATGTGAGCTTAAAATGATTTGTTTTTTGTTTTTGTTAGATTACGAAATGTTTTCCCTTTTTTGTTTTAATATTTCAACGTGTTTTTACCTTTTTTTCAACATTTTTTTACTTGTTTTTGTATATTTTTAAGTTATCAGAATTTCAACATATACTAGTATCAGAGTTTTAAAAACAATTATGTCTACATATTATTTTACTCAACGCGAGCTTTTGTAAATATTTTTTTTTGCTTTTGTTACAGAAAATAATAATTACTATAAATTATTGTACTATAAAAAATGTGATCGTATTTTGAGGACGAAAGATTGTTTTGCTTTTGCGATTTTTTGTCAAAATTGTAATTTAAGTAAAAAATTTTAATACAAAGTATGTAGATAGTTGAAATCCGTCTTTTATAGTGGGTTGCAATTTAAAAAAATTAACATTTTTGTAGAACTCAAAGACAAAAAAAAAATTCGAAAAACTTTATTCTTGATAGAACATCACATTTTGATAGTGCTCAATTAGTTTTTCCAAAAAATAAATAGTTTAAGCAAAAAATGTTTGGTTCCTGGTATAATGTAGAAAAAAAAATTGAAATATGTCTACTTATTATTTTTGCATAAACAAAATAAATTCTGATTGTAGTGTCACTTTTGTTTCAATGTTTTTATGTATAATTTTTTACCTTTTGGATATTTTTTTTATATTTGAAAAGTTTTATAATTGTAGAATTAGAGAAAAATTACAAATACATTTACATGTTATCTTTGAAACAACAAAACTAATTCTGATTGTAATGTCACAGATAGCGAGCTCTTGTAATTTTTTTTAATTTTTGTTCAATTACGAAATTTGTATCCCTCGATTGTTTTAATGTTTCAATGTTTTTTAATGATTTTTTTACTTGTTTTGGTATATTTTTGAACTGATTGTAGTGTCACAGAAGGTAAGAATGATTTCCTTGTTTTAGTTACGTTACGAAATCTTTTCCCTTTTTTGTTTCAAAGCGTTTTTACCTCTTTTTAAACATTTTTGTATTAACTTATTTTTTCTACACCCCTTAATTGTTTGGACAATTGCAAACTCCAATTAATAATACAACAGATTTATTTCACGTTGGGTACATTATGTACAAAAGTAATATAACACTTAAAATTACATTGGTTCTTAAATTACGCTACGTTTCGGCATTTTAAAATTATTCTATCATACTTCAGGGACTCTACCGGGTGTGATTATGAGTTCTAGCTTGATAGAAAATTCTACAAAAAAAAGGAACTTCCAAATTTTGTACTATACCACGAGACTGCCATCTTATCGGTGATAAATTTTAGTGCATTCCTGGTAGTTGCTGAAATACCGCAAAGACAAATTAACTGCGATCCATTTTCATACATCCTCCTCAATTAATATTGCATTAGTTGCATATTAATGGATGCCGGAACTAATGAGAGATACGAATTTGATTATACCATTAACAGGTGATCTTTCAGTAAAGTTATAGTTTCATGACTTTTCAGGAATAAAAGCAATGTTATCATACAGTGATGGATTCACTGAAAATGACCTCATTTTCACAGTTGAGACAGACGTCTAGGACATCAAATAAATCAGAAAGAAAAAAGCAAAGGGTTCCTAGCTTTTATCGTTTTTACACTTGAGCTTGTTGGAGAGGAAGAATTCAATAAGAATGCAATAAAATATGAATCCTCGGGCAAAAAACATATGAAGGCTAGGACATGTGTTCATATGGCGGCGTCTGGACGCAAAAATAGATACACCTTGGGTGTATTTGCGTCCAAAATAAATAAGTTTCATACATTTCTAAGTCTTTCTATTATTTGTTTTTTACAAGAAAATTCGTATTTTAATAAAATGTGTTTTTACCTTCTGAAAACATTTTTAAATCCACCATTTTCCAGGTATCTTACAAATTTCTAATAAAAAATAGTTAAAATTTTTGGTGAGGATTCTTGGGAAAAACAACTTTTTTCTCCCAACTGGGAATAAAATGAAGCTTTATTCTTCCGTTTTTGACTATTTATTTGACAAAATCATTTTCTTATATTATAATTAATTTAGTTTGTTGAGAAAAAAGTTTTGTATTTTGGTATTACCTACATTCCCGGGAATAAAACAGTTGTTTCTTGATACATAAATAACTAAATATTTCATAGGAATAACAATTATTTTTACTATTCTTAAAAGAATCAATTTTTCAAATATTTTATTATTATTTGTACAGAGTGGTTATAAATGATTTTCATCTAGCCAGCTTTGGAATTATTTTGCATGTAACTTTATTTGTGCCGCTCAAGCTCTGTGTCACTTATTAATTAATAATAAATTGTTGTTCATTAAACTTTTATTGTTTCAACTAAATTCCAATGATAATTGATAATAATGTATACTTTGGAAAAAAACAAGTTTATAATTGAAGCCTATTTTCGAAGTGGACGCTTAGTAAACGGCGCTTTTTTAATTTTGAGTTAAAACAAGTAGGTACCCCTATTTTTGTAAAACGGCATTTTTTATTTTACATGAAAAATTCACAGCTGCTTAGATGAAAATCACTTATAACCACTTTGTACTTTTATAAGTTTGTTATTATTATGTATTATGACTTATGAGAAAAAAATTATGTATTTTTACAATAAACTTGATTTTGTAAAAAATAAATGTAATTAATTCACAATGCATTGTGTATGTTTGAAAAAAAATTTGATAATAAAATTTCTTATAACAAAATAGTTAAAAATTCTTGAAAAAATAGTTACACCTTGGGTGTATTTGCGTGCAAAATAAATAAGTTTCATACATTTCTAAGTTCTCCTATTATTTGTTTTTCCACAAAAAAATTTGTATTTTGAGAAAATGTGTTTTTACCTTCTGAAAACATTTTTTTAGACCACCATTTTTCAGGTATTTTACAAATTTCTAATAAAAAATAGTTAAAATTTTTGGTGAGGATTCTTGAGAAAAACAACTTTTTCCTCCCAACTGGGAATAAAATGAAGCTTTATTCTTCCGTTTTTGACTGTTTATATGGCAAAATCATTTTCTTATGTTATAATTAATTTAGTTTGTTGAGAAACAAAAATTTGTATTTTGGTATTGCCTACAATCTCGGGAATAAAACAGTTGTTTCTTGATACATAAATAACCAAATATTTCATAGGAGTAATTTTTTTTTTACAATTCTTCAGAATCAATTTTTCAAATATTTCATTATTATTTTTTATACAGAGTGGTTATAAATGATTTTCATCTAGCCAGCTTAGGAATTTTTTTTTCATTTTTATTTGTGCTGCTCTACTTTTTTGAAAGGTCTGTGTCACCTATTAATTAATATTAAATTGTTGTTAATTAAGCTTTTATTGTTTTAACTAATTTCTAATAATAATTGATAATAATGTATACTTTGGAAGAAAACAAGTTTATAATTGAAGTCTATTTCCGAAGTAGACGCTTAGTAAACGGCAATTTTTTAATTTTGAGTTAAAACAAGTAGGTACCCCTATTTATGTAAAGCGGCATTTTTTATTTTACATGAAAAATTCACAGCTGGTTAGATGAAAATCACTTATAACCACTTTGTACTTTTATAAGTTTGTTATTATTATGTATTATGAGAAACAAATTATGTATTTTTACAATAAACTTAATTTTGTAAAAATTATATGTAATTAAT